TTTGGAAATTGTTGTTTGTGCTGTATTTAGACCCCTCTACCAAGAAATTTGTTTTACATGCACACGTATAAAAATTGCGGTTTTTATCCAACGCAATCATAGGTTTGAACGTTGTTTTCAATTTAGACTTTTATATATTTTTTCGTTTGGGCTTGTCTTATATTTTCCTTCGGGTTTATATGATCCGTTCATCCTATTTCGACTCTTTAAAATTCAAGAGTCTATCCTAAATTGAGGTAAATTATATGGCCTTCCAAATACCGTTTCGATCCCTAACATCACTGAAGAGACATTAATTGTCGAAATCCGGATATGGTGTACAAATTTTTGCACCTCATGTTTGTGGTATACCATCTTTTCCACAAGTTTATTGTTTTCTGTTTGGTATTTAATTAATATTAAGATCCATTTTGTTAGATCTGGTGATCAATTTATTTGGCAATCGCCAATGGCAGTCAGCAGGGTTTAAGAACATCAGTTGTTCGACCTGTTAGTCAAATGCGTTTTGTTAAAATAGACTTTTTCACTTTTTTTGGTCTTTTGGAAATTGTTGTTTGTGCTGTATTTAGACCCCTCTACCAAGAAATTTGTTTTACATTCACACGTATAAAAATTGCGGTTTTTATCCAACGCAATCATAGGTTTGAACGTTGTTTTCAATTTAGACTTTTATATATTTTTTCGTTTGGGCTTGTATTATATTTTCCTTCGGGTTTATATGATCCGTTCATCCTATTTCGACTCTTTAAAATTCAAGAGTCTATCTTAAATTGAGGTAAATTATATGGCCTTCCAAATACCGTTTCGATCCCTAACATCACTGAAGAGACATTAATTGTCGAAATCCGGATATGGTGTACAAATTTTTGCACCTCATGTTTGTGGTATACCATCTTTTCCACAAGTTTATTGTTTTCTGTTTGGTATTTAATAAATATTAAGATCCATTTTGTTAGATCTGGTGATCAATTTATTTGGCAATCGCCAATGGCAGTCAGCAGGGTTTAAGAACATCAGTTGTTCGACCTGTTAGTCAAATGCGTTTTGTTAAAATAGACTTTTTCACTTTTTTTGGTCTTTTGGAAATTGTTGTTTGTGCTGTATTTAGACCCCTCTACCAAGAAATTTGTTTTACATCCACACGTATAAAAATTGCGGTTTTTATCCAACGCAATCATAGGTTTGAACGTTGTTTTCAATTTAGACTTTTATATATTTTTTCGTTTGGGCTTGTATTATATTTTCCTTCGGGTTTATATGATCCGTTCATCCTATTTCGACTCTTTAAAATTCAAGAGTCTATCCTAAATTGAGATAAATAATATGGCCTTCCAAATACCGTTTCGATCCCTAACATCACTGAAGAGACATTAATTGTCGAAATCCGGATATGGTGTACAAATTTTTGCACCTCATGTTTGTGGTATACCATCTTTTCCACAAGTTTATTGTTTTCTGTTTGGTATTTAATTAATATTAAGATCCATTTTGTTAGATCTGGTGATCAATTTATTTGGCAATCGCCAATGGCAGTCAGCAGGGTTTAAGAACATCAGTTGTTCGACCTGTTAGTCAAATGCGTTTTGTTAAAATAGACTTTTTCACTTTTTTTGGTCTTTTGGAAATTGTTGTTTGTGCTGTATGTAGACCCCTCTACCAAGAAATTTGTTTTACATGCACACGTATAAAAATTGCGGTTTTTATCCAACGCAACCATAGGTTTGAACGTTGTTTTCAATTTAGACTTTTATATATTTTTTCGTTTGGGCTTGTATTATATTTTCCTTCGGGTTTATATGATCCGTTCATCCTATTTCGACTCTTTAAAATTCAAGAGTCTATCCTAAATTGAGGTAAATTATATGGCCTTCCAAATACCGTTTCGATCCCTAACATCACTGAAGAGACATTAATTGTCGAAATCCGGATATGGTGTACAAATTTTTGCACCTCATGTTTGTGGTATACCATCTTTTCCACAAGTTTATTGTTTTCTGTTTGGTATTTAATTAATATTAAGATCCATTTTGTTAGATCTGGTGATCAATTTATTTGGCAATCGCCAATGGCAGTCAGCAGGGTTTAAGAACATCAGTTGTTCGACCTGTTAGTCAAAGCGTTTTGTTAAAATAGACTTTTTCACTTTTTTTGGTCTTTTGGAAATTGTTGTTTGTGCTGTATTTAGACCCCTCTACCAAGAAATTTGTTTTACATGCACACGTATAAAAATTGCGGTTTTTATCCAACGCAATCATAGGTTTGAACGTTGTTTTCAATTTAGACTTTTATATATTTTTTCGTTTGGGCTTGTATTATATTTTCCTTCGGGTTTATATGATCCGTTCATCCTATTTCGACTCTTTAAAATTCAAGAGTCTATCCTAAATTGAGGTAAATTATATGGCCTTCCAAATACCGTTTCGATCCCTAACATCACTGAAGAGACATTAATTGTCGAAATCCGGATATGGTGTACAAATTTTTGCACCTCATGTTTGTGGTATACCATCTTTTCCACAAGTTTATTGTTTTCTGTTTGGTATTTAATTAATATTAAGATCCATTTTGTTAGATCTGGTGATCAATTTATTTGGCAATCGCCAATGGCAGTCAGCAGGGTTTAAGAACATCAGTTGTTCGACCTGTTATTCAAATGCGTTTTGTTAAAAATAGACTTTTTCACTTTTTTTGGTCTTTTGGAAATTGTTGTTTGTGCTGTATTTAGACCCCTCTACCAAGAAATTTGTTTTACATGCACACGTATAAAAATTGCGGTTTTTATCCAACGCAATCATAGGTTTGAACGTTGTTTTCAATTTAGACTTTTATATATATATATATATATTGATCTTATAGAAACATTAACAAATATATATTTATATCCATACTGCAGAAAAACAAAAAATATGAAAACGGTTAAATGCACAGTATACGTAAAAAGTAAAATAACAACAACACCCAACTTAAAGGAGCTTCAAACCGTATGTTCCCTTAACCAATGGCAAAATCAATAGCACATACACATCAAACGAATGAAAAAAAAAAAAAAACTGTCATTTTCCTGACTTGGTACAGGGATTTTCTTATGTAGAAAAATTGTGTTTTTGCATATCGTTCTTTATGTGACCTTTGAACTTAGTAAATTCTAACGTCACTGATGAGTCTTGGGTTGACGTAACGCTCGTCTGGCTTACAGATTATGGTATCTTTGTTTTTTAATACATATACACGCATGTAATGCTAGCGAATAATTGTGATTGACTTCTGATTGTCATGCTCCAAAGGTTACTTATTTAGTATGTCGTTTGTTTGCTATATATAATACTTTAATATTTTTTCAAAAGGTTTGATTGGTCAGATCAATACAAGACAAGAAAACCAGCACACAAACAAACTTACAAGCAAAATGACAAAAGACATTGAAAGATGCAAAATAACGACCAAGAATGCATGTACAAATGGATATTGTTAAGCATTTATTAGCCAAATTTCAACTAATCAATACAACATGTCTACTAGATGGATGTTACATTTTTAATTGAACAAATGAAGTTGTCGATAATTTCTATTTGTAGGTTTGCTCCATTAAGAAGTCATTAACTGGTGGTCATATATTTTGGACTTTATTTGAAAAGGGATGTATGTTGGAACAGGTATAATTAATTCTGCGAAATTTGTTAGAAGAAAGCGCAACACTTTGACTAGATTTGTATTGTTTAATTTTAATGAAGTTTTCAAAAATATATTTACTTTGACAAAAATATAGAAATTTCAAGACATTTGAACCACATAATTTTTGGGTGTATAGCAGTTTGAAAAAATAACACTAATTGCTTGATTTCTCTTAACTTATATAATGTGATTAAAACGTTCACCTAATTTTCAGAGTTAATTTCCTAAAGTGTTCTGTACCCCTATGAGACAGGATTGAATACTTATAACAAATACATCGAAATAATCATTCTTACCTTATCTTTTTTGTGCGTATAAGCAAATTACGTCTCAACCTGTGAACAGTGACATCTTGTTTGGTCGTTTAATGTTAAGTTCGGATTTAATTAGATTAATATATCACTACATGTACATATCATTATCTCTTATTTCTGTACTCACTGAAAAACAGTTTTCGTTTTAAGTATTAGTAAAACAATTATAACGTTGTGAGGGCAAATCAATCTGTGATACGCCATATAGAAATAAAGATGTGGTATGATCTGTACAAGGCATTTTTTTCTCACAATTTTCTCATTTCAGTTCATTATCCTTTCCAATATTCGTGTACACGCAAACTACGTCTTAACCCTTTAGCAATGACATTTCATTTGGTTGTTTCGTTCTTCGATGTAATTAAATTTGAATTTTTTCTCTCATTACTTTTCGAGATATCTTATTTCTAAACTCACTGAAAAAACAGTTTTTTGTTTTAAGTATGAATTGTAACTTTTTTTGTAATGCTATAAGGACATTGTGTACATATTCAGCTGTGATACACCATGTTCTGATTTAATAGACATGGACACGATAACTGTCCAAAGTTATCGATCAATAATCGATTATTTGAAGTATTATCGTGAAACTGTTTACTCTGTGTTATTTTTGTATTTTATCGATTAGGTTTTTCAAAAAGTAATTACATTACTTTTTTATAACTGTCCATAACATCAACAGCATTACATATCAAAATAAAGTTAATCACAATTATGCTGCTCATCTAATTTAGAATGAACATATTTTCGTATTTTCATAAATCCATTATCACAGAAAAATAAGGGTAAGGAAATACGAAAAACAATTAAATCTGAGATTTATGTGAGAAACATGTACCGATATTATACGATTAAATCATAAAATGACAAAAAAAAAAAAAAAAAGCAGTAAAATCTGAAATTTTATTCACTTTAATCAACATATTTATAAGCATAAGAATATACCCATTCCCGAGTATACTTTCAATTTATGATTCTTGTTTGTTTGAAAAGTCTTGTAGCAAGATAGGAAGTTCCTTTGGACGTCGATCCGCATTTGACCTTACTCCGTATTGCTGTAAAACTGATTTATGTAACGATCATGAACCTCTGCCACCTACTACAGTGATGCCTACTATACCGCCAAATCCATGTAAGGAAATGCATATTGGTAGTTCTTATATAAGACATTTTAATAAAGGTTTTTTCCTAAAAACACCAAATATGAGTAGTGATATATATAATAAATACAATGTAGGCAATACAATTGATGAACAATGACTAAGATCTTCATTTAATAATTTCTACTGTCACTTTCACACTTTTTTATGTTTATTGGTCTGTGTCGAAGATCTTACCTGATAAATATTATGCAACATCGACGTTTCAAAGTTGGTATTCCAATTTATACAAATTATGTAACCCTACCAGACTGCATTTAAATGCAAACATAGCTTAACTATTCACACCTTTTTAAAGACAAAAAGAAAAGTAATCTTACAAAAGTTTGTTTTCAAATTTCATGTTTAAATATATCAATATATCCTGACATTTTTAATAATTGACCTATCCACGAGTGCTTGCATTTCATTTTTTCACATTAACAAATCCTTTATTGCACTATCAGTCGTATACAACTGCTCCATATACAATGTAGTACAACCATTCTATACAAGCTTATCGCTGTATGTAAGTCGTCAAATGAAACAGGAGAGTGACTTGACGACATCGTTCTTCTTCTTTGTAAGACTTATACATTGCATTGCATTATTACACTCATTATAACTTTGCGGATATATGTTTTCTCCGTTTACGGGTTGTTATTTACAGTAATTTATTTATAAACATACATGTGTCACTTTCTGTTGAATGTTGAATGTAGAACCTGTCTTTAATCTTTTACGAAGGTAAGATTCAGAAATAATAAGTGCCGCTGTAATATAAAAGATTAAATATTTTGAAGATGCTTGCTTTTTTTTTTATCCTAGTGGCGTTGATATAACGAATACCAACGAAAAAAAAAAAAAAAACAACAGCTGATTCATTTCTAAATATTTTGTCTGACGAGTGACGATGACACATGAGACGAATTGATTTATTATTGTTGGCAACCGACCACGTTTCAGTATTAACAAATTAAACCCCCTACTCAATCTTTTAGCGTTTACAATCATAACTGTCTACTCATGTGCATGATCCTAAAATGCAGTTTTCAACAACAAATATACGCTTCTAACGCACAAACTAATCCAGCAAGGAGGGCTTTGAGGAGAACGACTGATATCGACAATTAACAAGTTGTACGGTCACAACAATGAATAAGAGGCCTAGGACAACTTAGAAGTTTCTGCGTCTCAACTCACAATGGAAAGGGATTCCTTTGTCAGATTCTGTAAGCAGCTTGTCATCTATATTTAGTGTTTGAAATAATTGTAAGTTGTATATGTCAGTATGGAAAGGTATGATTATACCTTGACCTCATGTTCACGGTTCATTGGTCAATGTTAAGTTTTAGGGTTTTGGTCTTTTTTTAATACTTATAAAATAGTCAATAGGTCAACTATATTTGGTGTACGAAATGATTGTAAGGTGTACATGTCTGTCTGGCAGATATTATTGGTCCATGACCTCATTTTTATGGATCATTTGTCAATGTTCATTGTTAATAGTCAGGTCCTCCTTCAAGATACTATAATCATTAGTCAGCTATATTTGTTGCATGGAATTATTGCAAGATGTACATGTCTGCTAGTTTTTATCTGACTTTAACATTATTTTCATGGTTCATTGATCAATGTTAAGCTTTTTTCTTTATTAATCTGGTTCTTAGATACCATAAACAATAAGGTCAACTATATTTGTTGCATGGAATGATTGCAAGGTGAAACTGTCTGTCCGCCAGGGTTCATCTGACCTTGACTCCATTTCATGGTTCTTGATTAACTTTAAGTTTTCTTTAATAATCTGTATCGTAGATACTATGAAAAAATAAGGTTAACTTTATTTGATGCATGGAATGATTGTTAGGTGTACATTTCTGTCTGGCAAAGTTCAATTGACTTTAACATCATTATAACTGTCAATACCAAGTTTTTATGGTTTGGACTGTTTCCTGTATACTATAAGCAAGTGGTTAACTATATGTGGTCCATGGAACGATTGTGTGGTGTACATGTGTTATTGGCATGGTTTATCTGACCTCGACATCATATCGATAGGTCATTGATAATGTTCAGATAATGTGACACGTGTAGTAAATAAAGGCACCATTAGTATAACGCTGCTCAATAGTCATAAATCGTTAAGCGAAAAAAAAACAAATCAGGGTTACAAACTAAAACCGAGGGAAACACATAACCTATTAGTGGAAAACAACGGAACAACAGAAACACTGAACTGCAACAAAAACAAACGCAGCCATACATGGAAACGATCTATTTGATAACAACTGCCATACTCAAGACTTGATACAGGACATATTAAGACAAAATGATGGGTTGCACTTGGTTGTATGGCTAGCCAAACCTCCCACTTATATATATATATGGCAATGTTAACAATACCACTAAAATGACAACATTACGTTACAGGGATACAGTATAAATAAACACTCAGGACAAAGAAATACATAAAAAATGATATAATAGTAAATTGCAACATGCAAACCACAAAATAACAACGGACACCTCCCGAAATAAGAAAACTTTATCTCTAGGACTATGAACATAAAAGCATCATGGTTTGTGAAGCAGGCGAGACATTTCAGCATGTGCACTCTTATTGTGAATTTCCTTTATTTGTCATCTCAATCAATTAATGAGATTTGAACGGTGGTAAACTACTTTTGCCTTAACTTGTCACTCTAATAGTTCTCACAAGTTTACCATTATATATGCATGGTCATGAAATAAGATAATGTTAATTAACTATATTTTACATAACTATTTTCAAAACGTTATTATAGATTGTCCAAGAGGATTCCAATATGTCAGTGGGTCGTGTTATTTGGTGAACTTAACCAAAATGACATGGTCAAAAGCACAGGTAAATGTTATTTCAGTATATAGTATATACCATGTATAATATATAAAATATAGATATTCCCACTCGTTATTATTTTGAATATCGAACCGACTGCAAGTTGTCATTTGTAATTAGATATCGAATAACGAATAACAAACCAACAGCTTACCTCACAACATTAAATGAAATATAAATTAAGATATAAGAAATACACTTTTAAAGATAAAAAGGGAATCAATGAAAATATTAAAATAAGATGATAAGATAATAAGATAATAAAAAATGAAGAATACAATATAAAAATTAAGTATGTCTCAACCTTGACAAAGAGGATCAATGAAAGATGATTTCAGCTTCTTAATTGTGAAAAATGCTATTTCTATGTAGCAACATTACAACATCGCCTGCGAATGTTGTATTTTTCTGTCAGCTGTTACGATATGTATATATAAATTCCAGGGCTAGCTAGCCTATCATGATTTCACCGGTAATCACAAGGAAGCTAAAATCGAGAGTTCCAAGTGATGAAGTTGGTAGCATCCCTTAATCAAATTTACGGACGCCATCACCAGTTGATTAACTATTGTAGAATATCTGTTTCACAGATAACGACGGATATATTCCAATTGTCATAACCACTTTCCCGAACTGTTTTTTTTTCGAATATGACCTACCGAATTAGATTTATCGCCGAATTTGTACTAACACGAGTAATCCGACAGGTACCTCACTGTTCAGCTGAGGAACAAATCAGAACACCATTTTATATATTGTTTTTCATTAGAGTATTGAGTAAAAACTCTGACAGTAACAATATCAGTTCATATTGTTAATTTTGTTCGTCTAGTGTACTGTGACTTGACTTGACAAATTGAAATAAATGAACGTGCCATACCTTCTTGTTTCTTTTTTTTTTAAATTTTAGGACTTTTGCAAAAGTCATGGTGCACACTTAGCTGATTTCACTACAAAATATGAGATGGGACCTGTAATACAAAAAGCAGTAGTACCTCTGTCATCTCGTTTCCAATTCTTTGGTATGAGTTTTTATAATTTCTCTATTTTATATTTATTTTGAACGAATCTAAGTCTTGTCTTATGCATATAATGAATAGCTGCATTATTGAAGGGGCACTAGCTGTCAAATTCATGTTCACCAATCTAACTCAAATTTTCAGATTAGATTTATGACAATGTAAAACATTTATCAAAATTATAAAAGTTTAAAATAAATAATTTTCTGGGCATTGGCTTGATAATATATAGCTCCGTTTCGTGTCTATTTTAGTCTAGACGCCATTTAGTTATCTATCGAGATGACCCCGAAAACAACCGACTATCACATAACACGAAATAAACATAAACATGAATGTAAATAGATATATGAACCTCGTGCAAATGTTTTTTACGTCTGTTTGATTTCAACTTGAAGGTTAAAAAAATAAGTTAGTTTTCGATTTTACCTGTATAAGAATGATTTTTTTGTGGATCGAATCAGTCAATCAAACGATTTACCTTTGTTTTACTTTCAATATTGACAATTTTTTCTTTTAATAGCCTAACACGCACCAATCATGCATAATCCTAAGGGGTTAAATTTAAGTTCACATGAATACGGATTCAATGAGGTCGAATTATTCACTTGCAAGTGAATAATTCATCATCGATGTTTCTTAGCTAATTTTGACAAAATTGAACAATACTGGCTGCTAATAGCAATTTATTATTTCACTATATCACTTTCATTAATGATTGAACATAAACAATCATGATTTAATTGTGGTGTATCCCCTTTAAGTTTGTGTTATCTTTTGTTGTATGAAAATTAAGATAACCTTGCAGCAATTTAAATGTCTTGAATACTATTGATTCATTATTTTTCGTTGGATACCAATTTTCGTGGATTTCTTGGGAACAGGTGAACTACGAAATCAAATGATCAATGAATGACATATTTTCTACAAGCTTGTACGCAGACTTCGGCGAAACCACACAATTAAATATCTACAAACATGCAAGTGTTACTCAATGCATGCAAATTGGAACCCATGAAAATAAAAGAATCCAAAGTACTAAGTATGCGAACAGTTAAATAATGGTGAAAAGGGTCTAAAGATACCAACAAAAAAATACAAAAAATGTACTCGGATACAAAAAGACTGATACCTTGTTCAAAAAGATGGTATTTGGCCTTTAGGATAGCACATTCGTGTTCAAACCTGTGTGACATACTTTACAACGGACTAGAAAATAGAAAGAAACATACAAATAAATGCAACAAAAAGGTGTTGATAGATAGAAAGCTTAACAAATTTAGTAATAGCGTGTGGTTGGCAGTGTTCAGGTAATCAGTTAAGACAAGGTCACACATTTTAAATGTGAATGATACACTAGCATATGTTAAAGAGGTTTAGAATTCCAAATGTCAATGAATAAAATACTGTAACACTTATCTAAAGTTTCGAATTGTAGAAGCAAAAAAAAAACATTATTAGGTTAAGACATTAAAGATGAATATAATATATTGAGTAGATATGCAATATTATATAAGAAAAAGTGAAGTGTATATCAATGTGGTTCACCAATATTTTGTGGATGATTATGAACTATTCTCGATATCAAACAAATTAAACACTCAAAGCTGAAAAACATATGTTTTGTTTATTTTTTCAACTTCAGATCCGCATTGTTGGATAGATGCTGTATATTCTGACAGCCACCACCACTGGATTTGGTCGCACAGTTCTGCCTTAGTTGATTATCGTTCTTTTACCCAACTAGCACATAGTACTGGTAAAACTTCAAAGTGTGCATTTGCTACCTATGCTGCGGGTATTACTCCGTTGATATTTGAAATCGATGTTGACTGCAGTCGAAGTTACATTCCGTTATGTGAGGTTAATCCGTTTTAATAACATTAAATAATCGTCGTAATGATAATTGCGAGAATATTAAGAATGATTTGTCCCTTTCTTTTTTCTTTAGTTCTTAACCAAATTGGTTTTTTTTTAACATGTGGATTAGTGTGTATCAACAAGTGTCGTATTTGGCGAAACTTTTAGGAGTTTTTGGTTCTCAATGCTCTTCAACTTCGTTCTTAATGTGGCCTTTTTAACTTTTTTTATTCGAGCGTCACTGATGAGACTGGCGCAAACACAAAATTTTAATCCTCGTATCTCAATGTATCTATGGTGAGTTTATTAAATCGAACATTTTTCACTTTCCTTAAATTTCGCTATAGTGACGAATAAGGTGATCAGACACACAACAAACAAGATGACAAAAACAAAAAGAATACATTTTGCTAACAAAATAATAGAGAAATAATGTATTAATGATAAACAATGTATTAAAGATATATAATATAAATACTAACAAAATTATAAATATGTACCTGAAGATACCCTGGTCTTAAGGTACTAATATACATCTCCACTGAAATAGCTGAACCAGTGAAGAAATCTGTTAACAGCATGTGCAATATTGTTGTTGAAAAAAAAAAAAAAAACATTTTGCTAACAAAAAATGTAAAAACGTAAGAGAAGATTCTACCGCAGTATGTCATGCAATACGATTTTTGTCCAATTTTTACAATATATTTTAATATATTGAGAGTTATGTTTTGAGTACAAAAATACTTTGAAAGAAGAAATTTCGTATCGCATTTGATTCAGTAATAGATACAATACCACTTCAGGCCGAGCAGCAAGAAGAAGGTTTGTTTTCAAATAAATCGTACATGTAGTTATAAACAGAAAAATCTAACACTATCAAATTAGTATTTAAATGAAACATTATTTTTTTTTAGATAAATAAACAAAACGAGAATATCTAAAAAGTGAAATCACAAACATATCGATCTTCGATGAAAATAAAAGCGGAAAGTTCCCAATCAAATTGCAATATCAAAAGCTCAAATACACCAAACAAATGGATGAAAAATGTCATATTTTTGACTTGGTACAGGCATTTTCTTATTTAGAAAATGGTGGATTAAACCTGGTTTTATAGCTAGCAAAACCTCTCACTTGTATGGCAGTCGCATCAAATTCCATTATGTTGACAACGATATAAAGCATTACAAGTATACTTATAGAATACAACACATTTCAGTGATGGTCTCTTTGGTATTCTATAAAGAAAATGCAAAAATCATCAAAAACAATCTTGAAAAATGTTTTTGTGTAATCCTCGATCAAACCACAATACTACTGACGTGAACAAACTTTATATGTGCATATTACTATGAAATAAACAGGCGCTGTTTTTTTTTGATTGGGTTTGACATACTGTTTCTCTACATGAGCGTAACTGATGAAAGTAAATTCAGAAAAGCTCGTCTGACGCATGCAATATATAACGAGTTTTTCCCTTTTTTGACATTTACTATATTTAACACGTATACACACTTCTTTACCTTTAAAGATAATAAATTACTTTGTTTTCATCTCAAAATAAGGAATTATCTTTTTTTTTTGTTATATGGTGTTGTTGAATATCTGACACCTATCTTGTATCTTGATATAATATGATGTTACATTCGTTAATCATTTACTGTATCCTGGTTTATCACGGTAACCTTAAGATAACTAGCATAGTGGAGGTCTTTCAGAAATAATATGTTTGACGGTTACCATATCATATTGACGTGTGCACTGTGTAGGGTAGTAACATGCTTTTAAATTCAAATTAAACGGACGTATGTATAAACATATGATTGCCACGTATATCAATAACTTTTAAAACTTATGTGAATATCGTTTGTTTTTTTTTTTTAAATATGTTTCCTCTTTTGAGCTTCAACTAGAAATGTAGCTATGGTGACATTTACAATAATCTGCCGTCACGTGTAAGTCTAGGACGGTCTATGCACAAACGAGATATTTGTGTTCAATATTTATTCTTCAACTATTTGCTTATATAAAGACATACTGTGTACTCATTAATATGTCTTTGAATTCATTTCAGCGCATATTTGTAAAATGGATATCTTTGGAAATGATTTCAATTTATTTGTAATATACTATTATATTAATTATGTATGTATTTCTCTGTGCTTGATGTTCTTGTTTGCTGGTACATTTTTTCTGTCACTTAGTTTTCAAGACATTTTAGCGGTATATTTAGTATTGCCATATAAGCTGGATATTAGGCTAGCCATAAAACCAGGTTCAACCCATCATTTTGTCTTAATATGTCCTGTACCAAGTCAGGAATCTCAAAGTTGTTATCATCAGTCAGTTTCTATGTATGTTGTCGTTTGATTTTGTTGTTGTTTCAGTGTTTCTTTTGTTCCGTTGTTTTCCTCTTATAGTTGACGAGTTTCCCTCGGTTATAGTTTGTAACCTGGATTTTATTCTTCTTAATCGAAATATGGCTATTGGACAGTGGTATACATTAAAGGTAAGTTTAGGTTTTTTATAAGAAGACGCTTAAGATCCACGTAGGAGGCTTCATTATTCCTCCTTAACTGGTATGGATAAACATCTTCAAGTATTTTTGATAATTATATCTTAGTATGATTCATTTCTGCACGCTGATCACAAGTGTAAAACATACAATATGCACTCGAGATGATCCCCACTTATAATGTACCTATCAAACCACATCAAATACAGTGTATTACATAATATTTCATTTTCGTTGCCAGATGAAACAACAATAATCAGTTTGTCTTTAAATAAAAATACCACGTAATAAAATTCGTGATTTCGACAAGATTTCATGATTCTTCTTCGTCAGCACACAAAACTCTTTTATTTTTTTACCTCTACGATTGTTTGTTTCAACTTTAGCTTAGGCAAAGCCATATGCTAATAAAGTGAAATATTTTGACAGATCAATGAAATCAGTGTGTACAAAAATTCTAAACTGAACGTTGACATATCATTTAACTAGGTTTTGTCATATCTGTTTTAGATTATTATGTGAATGACATAGAGCCTTGTTTAGTCATATAAATGTCGTGAGTGACATTATTATGTTTGGAAGGTCATAGTAGCTTCTTATCTCAAAACTTTAGCCCAGTTGTCATCATATTTGTATTGATATGAGACATGATTAATATGTTAGATATCAGTACAGTACATACATTGTTTAAAAAATGTTGAAAGTGTCGATACACTTAAATTTTTTCATCCCGAATGCATAGGTTTGGAGTTTGACCGCCACTGAAGAATATTATAAAGATGAATAAAGGCACCAGTAGTATACCGCTGTTCAATAGTCATTAATCGATTGAGAGAAAATAATTCCTGTTAACAAAATAAAACAGAGGAAAACACATCAACTATAAGAGGAAAAACAATGGCCCACGATCTTAGTTTATTTAATTCATCATATGTTATAATTAATTGAGTAAATGAAAAACAAGTTCTCTAATTTTTCTGCAATTTTCACATTTCGTGATGGATGTGAGAAAAATATTTCTCCTCACTCCTGAAGTATTTGTTCTCTGCAAATGATTGGTCGGCATTTAGTTATGACGTCAAATTTTCTTCTAAATTGTCCATTGTGTCGTAACGAAAAAGGGCGACCATTCCTGAAGACATTACATATAAAGAGCACAACTTTCTACAAATCTTTCAAAAGAAAAGGAAACAAATCAGTAGAAAAAAAATTCACCAATATAACTTGTGTATCACGATATTCCGGCAAGCCTCGCGCTTCAAATATTAAAATTTGACTGTCTCGAGTGGAAAAATATCGTTACACACTGGTTGCAGTGATAATATCTATATTTCTCAAACCAAATTCCAGTCATTATTTACAGCGAACTCAGTTTTTTATTTATAATTGTACCTTTGGAAAGGTATGTTGATTAAGTAAGTGTTGCATTTCTTTCAGTTTTAATATATGTTTGTGCTATATCAATACCATAACATGTTAAAGATATAAGTTGTTTAATCAAATTAACAAATTGACCTACTAAGACGTAAAATTGTGTATACCACTTACTATATCTATGTACATTTAAGGTATAGCATTTCTAATTTTTGAATAGTTTTACTAATAACATGAATAAGTCGGTTTTGTATAGAATTACAGTCATTGAAAGTATTTGTTTCAAGATTTGATATGTTACCAAATATATAATTGGTACTTTACTATTGATAAACCATTTCAGATATAGGGAATTTAATACCAGTTCTACAAGAAAGTCCAGTTTTCAGTATTTTTATTCGTATTAGGTGCAAATATTTTTATTTAATTAAAGATAGACTAAAATTAAATATATATATGTACACCTTACTTATAGATACTCCTCATCAATTATGACTTTAAATCTATTTTCTAGTTTATAACCAAAGTATTCCAAGGTTTTTCGTCGAAATGAATGATCTTGTATAAACGTTTTATATGAATATGTTTTTTTTTAAACAAAACAAATAATCATACCAATCCCTCTCTTTTGAAGTTATTATCTCGTCCAAGAAAAACTAGAAGCTCGAAATTATCTGTGTGGCTCACCTGTATTGCTGTGTTTTGCAAATCATGTAAAATAAGGTTAAAATCATGATAACTAGTATTAAATACCCTAATAAGGATTTAGGCCAAGTTTGGTTTAATTTGGCCCAGTAGTTAAATTAAAAGCAGAAGATTTTCCGGGTTGAATTTTGGTCAAAATAGACTGTTTTGTAGGTCATCGTTGATCTGATGAACATTTAAATACCCTAACGATGATAATGGCAACATTTGGTAAAATTTATATCATCAGTTTTAGAAGATTTTTGTAAAAGATTACAAAAAATTACGAAGAATTATTAAAAATTGACTATAGAAAAAAAGTAAAATCACAAAAATACTGAACTCCGAGGAAAACTCAAAACGGAAAGTTATAAAGGGCAATAACTCATTAACAGGTCAATTGACAATTTGTGTCCTACTAATTTAATTGTAGATCTTACTTTGCTAAACGTTTTTGCGGTTTTTTGTTTATCTCTATCTATATTAATATTCAAGATAATAACCAATAACTGCAAAATTTCCTAAAATGACCATATACAGAGGCAGCAACCAAAAAGGGGTTGTCTGATTCGTCTGTAAATTTCTCGGAAAAAATTCAGAGCATATAGATCTGAACCTGATAAACAGGTTTACCTTGTTAGATTTGCTCTAAATTCTTAAGTTTCAGAGACATACGTCAAAAACTGCCTTTTACTCCTTATGTTCTATTTTTAGGAAGGTCTGCCATGATATTTGTCTTCATCGAACGCGAACAACGACGACAGACGCCAAATGGTTAGAAAAGCTCACTTGGCCCATTGGTCCAGGTGAGCTTAAAACAATTTCGATTTCATTCTTCCCGAATATGCATGCTAAAAACAATTAATCA